ATTGCAATGTGTGTCACATCCCGGTACTGTGTCATATCCCGGTGATTTACGTTACTTTGTTGAGTGGATTTAACACTTTAGGGGCTGGCAGGAAGGGAAATTGGTATTAATAATATTGATATACACTTGAAAGATGTCCAGGATGAATAACTGTTTGCTCTTCAAGTTGGTGACTCAGAGGGAGGGAAATTGAAGAGTGGATTTGGGAGAGGTAGTATTTAATATTTACTACAATACAGGAATAAGTAAAGTAAGAAATCAAGTAAGTTTGATAATATTTCTATCATAGGTTTCAGTAAAGTATATAGCCTCAGTTTGAAAAAAAAAAAAAGGCATAAAATGTATGGTTCAAGCAATCCAAAACGTGTACCAGGCTGAAAATAAAGTGTTACATGTGGCTGTGCACGGAAAATGCCAAGGCTAATGTCTTGGCAGAAAATATCAGAAATATAGGGTTTGAAATAGAGGGTTTTTCTTGTAAGAAATACTTTTAAGATAATAATAATATTATTATAATGAATAAAAGCAATCATAGAAGATAGGAGTTCAGAAGGACATAGAATAAATGATAGAGATTTCCTCTTTATCATACATTAGCTATTGTAGATCTGAGACATGTCTATAGCTTTTGTATTTGTGCTTAACAGATGCATTAAACTCAGATGTTCTATAAGATATTCCTTCAAGTTGGTAATAGGAGTCTATAATCCAGTCTGCTTGCTGAGCACATTTCCAAATTAGACCATCTGAATTAGAATCTAAAGCTTGTAGTATAAGGGATTGCAAGCTCTTAATTGAATATCCACAGTAGCTATGAGTATACCACTTTGCTGTACTCCATAGATACTCTATAAAGTTTATTTTACAATGAAACTTTAGATAAATGAGTATCATACCTCTGTAATAAAATATACAAAGTCATTGTTGAGTTATAATTATTTCTAGGATATAGGGTTCAATGGAGTTTGAAGTTTAAAATTAAGGGTTATATTAGAAAAACCCAACCCCTATTCAATAAACTCAGTTTTACTAAGCAGATCAAGTGTGGCTGCTGTAACACCTTTTGTACTCTTACACCAAAAATACAACATTTTAAATCCCTAAGGCTTTATCAAAATAAGTCAAAATGTGAAAAAAAAACCTGTTTATTATTCTTCTTTATTTTGTCTTTCAGAAACAGGTTTTTTTTCTTGATATGCACTTATTCTTATGAAGCCTTAGGGATTTGAAATTGATGAAAAATCTGGTACACGTTTTGGATTACTTGAACCATAGAAATAAATTGTTTGTATGAAACTGGAGGACTTATTAGTTATAAGAATATTGAAGGTACTTAAAGAATGGAAGAAAGGATAGAATACTTCAAGTATTATATAATAAATAACTACTTGAATAATTGATGTCATATGGGTGTAGTTAAGGGAAAAGGTGTAAACTTTGCTTTTTAGGTGTTTTGTATTAGAAGCAGTTTTAGTTTGCATAGCAACAAAGTACCTTTTGAGAAAAGGGCAAAAATGTTTTTTCACACATTAAAATTGAAATAGCCCAACTAGCAATAAAGTAAACACTATTATAATAAAGGATAAGAGAGACCTCAGCTGTCTATTTAATTCTACGTAAATATTTTTTACTTTACCATTCACTAATAGATTCAAATCAGGAGTTTCTAGTAAAGTTTATATTAAGAAAGGTTAAAAGAGCTGAGTAAGTACAATTAATATATGTTTTTACCTGAATCCACTGCCTTTCACTTGTTTTTAGAGCCAGGAGGTCTACCACGCCCTCTTTTGACTGGAACAGTAGTTAGAGATTCTCCCAACTTATCATTAGAGTTCTCACCTTGATACAATTCTTGTACAAGCTCACATTTGGCTTCTTTGGTATTAATTGTATGTACATTCTTCTTCTCACATACTGTAGAAATTAGTAGTTCATCTGACTTTAAGTAGTACTATTGATTTTGATACTGTGGTGGTGTATAAGAAGAATATTTATTCCAGAGATCATGCTATTTCTCTGGATTCAATCCTATATCTGGAAGTCTACTTGGTTCAATATTCAAGAACATGGATAAGACAAAGTTCTTTTTTTCGTAAATCAACCTTGGTCCACTCATCTTTTGGTATTCGCTTTACTTGAACAATACCAGAATTTTGAGAAAGAAAACGAAAGAAGTGATAGTTCTAAATGCCCTTTATGGTATTCAGATAAGGCTTAAGAGCTGACTTCCAATTTTGAAACATTGTTTCTGGAGGATCATTGAAGAACTGAACAGCTTTTATTTTACCTGCCTTATTAGTAGTATCAACAAGTGCCACATTATTCTGGAGTCCAAACCTCATTTCTGTTAGCTTTTTGCTTAACTGTTCCAAAGCCACAATCTAT